TTTTTTGGCATTTAAGGAAGTGGTTAGATCATTGCGCTTGGGTTCCTCCAACACATTGGTTCCTCGGGTCCCGAGCTCAACTCCCGCAGAGGGCCACGCACCCTGAGCAAGACCCTTATAACCTCACTCTGCTCCCTGGGCGCCGCACCCTGACAGCCCACCGCTCCCCAAAGGGATGGGTTAAATGCAAAAGTGAGTTTCTCCATTGTGAGATCAATAAAGTTCCTAAATGTAGGCCTAATATGTCCTTTAAAATTAAAAGCACTAAAGAAAATGGACATATACATATTTCTGACTACTGCACCATGGCCTATACACAATGATGGCTGCTAGAGCTTGGAATCCTGAGGTTCTGGGTTCGAGCCCCACTCCCACAGTCTGCCACTCTGGGTCCCTGAGCAAGACCCTTAATCCCGGGGCGCGAAAGGATGGCAGCCCTCTGCTCCCCAAGGAAATGGGTTAAATGCAGAGGTCAGTTTCTCTAATGGGACATCAATAAAGTTCAGTTATTATTATATGATTTAAACTGTTGCAGAGTCAACTTCAAACGATGATGCTCACAGGATATAAACTTTTCTCAGTTTTATTCCTCCTTTTAATCTGATCATTTTGGCACACTTTTAACCAGCACTGTGCTCAGTGATCACTAGAGGCACACTGCTTCTCCTCATTCTGCAAATAGGGAAGTGACAGAGATGGTGAGAGAAGCGCGCAGGTAAGAGGCACGTTTGTTTTTGGCGGGTAATAAAAACAAAATAACAATAATAATATATTAGGTTTGATGATGATCTCTCTAAAAGATTTATGAAGGTAATGTCAAGATCTGAACTCTTGTCATTGCGCAAAAAGTTTTGGAGCATTTTTCATCCTTGCTCAGACTTTAAATAACTTTTATGATGCAAATAAATAGCTGTACTTTTCACGCCAATATTACATCATATAATGCTGCACATTTCTGTGGCATAAATCCAACGCTCACGCGTTTAGTTTGCCCCACGCAGAATTTGCTGTTAAAACTATTCTTTTTGGTTGAATCTCTTATTTATGAGAGATGAGGTCGACATGTGGGAAACTGCCCCGTATTTAGAAACACAAGTATGCATCTAATTAAATTAAGGTTCAAGTCAGATGTTTACAAAAATATTTTCGCACAAAAAAAAGAAGAAGAAAGAAATTAAAGAAAAAAAAATGTTGGCACAGTAGAAGAACGTTTAAGATGTGTCCGTTATTTATTTTTAAAGGAACTGTTGACCCTGAAACGACTGATTTAGGTAAAGTTAGAAAGGTATTCACAGATTCGGCTTTTCCGGATTAATAATCCAGGAACATTGCCTCTGGATTGTCCTCTATATGCGGAGATTACGGTTTTTCAAATGCGCAGGTCTTCAAATGAAAACACCACAAAAATAATATAATAGAGTATTTATTATAATCGCAATATGTGGCTGTAGGCGATATGGTCTCAAATCTACTACAGCTATTGGATTGGAAAATAGGTTTATTCGAGGTATTTTGCACACCTGACTTTTGGAAAATGTATAGGGTTATAGGTCTATACAAATATTTTGTGTGTGTGTGTGTGTGATATTCTCCCCCCCCCTTTTTTTCCTTTTTTTTTTCTTTTATTTGATTATATTTTTTCCCCTTCATTGGAATCAATAATACACTGGGATTAACTGCATACCGTAATGCCGTCAAACTTGCAGTGCACCGTAAGCACCTCATCCAACTGTTACTTTGGGAATGTTAAGAGTTTTCTATCCTAAATTACTGTAAACACCTGAATCAACCCCGATTATCGTTTTGGCCCCGAATGTGCACAGGGGCCCAATGGCCATAAGGACCCCTCTTTCCTGGGGTCCATCACATTCTCCTTTATTTTATATTATTTTGCAAAGCGAACCCACTGGACAAAACGCGCTACCGCTCTATGACGCCTGGAATTGAGCGGAAATGTACGAAGAACTGAAAGCAAATTGTCATCTGAGAATAAAATGAAAACTGTTTTACAATCAGAAAGAGGACGGAAAATTGGACGCATCTCTGAGTTTAACGGTCTAAAAGGGCAGAGTTGGATTATTTGTTGTAGTTAAGGGAAGCGAATAATTTAATCAAAAAGGAATTCATATTCATATAAGCATTTTTTCCCCCTGGTAAATGTGTTATTGGATTGAATGAAAGTTTAGCTAAAATCATTCTGAAGAAGTCTGGCGGATGCAGAGCGCTCATTGTTGTTCAAAACTAGATTCTCCAATGATTTTATAACCTTGGAGCTCAGTGCCACGGACAGACCCGATCATTATCTCCAG